TAATATTTTTCCGTACATGCATACTAAACCTGCATTCATTTTGATCTCCGCTAGCATTAAGTTAATCAAATCAAAAATAATAAAATTTTGAATTCTTACGTTATCACTGTGGCATTTATTATTTTTTATTTAAATATATGAGGGCGATAGTGATTAACTCAAATAAATTTAACAATAAAAATAAGTGTTTAACAAAAAGTTGTTTGGTAAAGTAATTAGAATACGAAAATTTCCTTCATTGCTGCAACACAACGGTGACACTTACGACATTTTGTACTTGAATAATTAGACTCGTTGCTTAACCTACAGACCAGAAAATACAAAATTATTAATGAAACCACATACGTTTTAATATAAAGGGCAGTGAAAAGTTTTGCAATCTGGTGGTAATGTGAGTTATTATGCCATTGGAGCAACTCATAAAGAACACATTAGTCAAACATAAATTTGTTTAACGGTAGGGAAGTAGCTACGGGCAGCAAACCAACTAGACATTCAATTATGGGTAATCATGAGGCGAGCGCGGCGACGGAAAGGATTCTGTATTATTTCACGATACAAAGTGAGAATTGGTACCCACTTAGGGAACCGCGGACGGAATGTAGAATGATAACAACAGCCCGAACACCGATGTGAACTCGTTGGAGTTGTTTGATTTTTTTGGATGTTGAATGTTTGTGTAAATTTCGTACGAGTATTGCCTTCTTTGCTTATTGTTGTTGTTGTTTTATTTTGTATGTTGACAGTGTCGTTTTTGTACGACTTTTGCTTAAAACTTTCAGCCGGGTGGGCGTGGGAAGAGGATTCTGGTGTTGGAGCAGTGGAACAAGCAAAGGTGGAACATGCAAATGAGTTGAATGGTTTGTGCCACACATCCAATGGACGCCACATTTGCTCAAATAAGCGCTGAAAATGCCATTCAATGCGGCGATGCAAGCGCAGACGACGTGTAGGACAGTCGCGTGCCTTGCATGCGGGTGTCCAGCAATGACGGGGGGGTACATCATCGGATGCGAACACAAAATGGCGATTAAACGTCAAATCATAGAAATTTTTACCTGTCATCACTTGTAGAAATTCTATAATAAAAAAATGTTTATGAAAAATTTTTAATGTTAAAAAAAAAAGTATTCGTCACACTTAAACTCACCATCGAAATCAACAGTTCCAGAACCGTCAGCATCAATTTCTTCGATGATCATATCTAAGTCGGCAGCTGACAATTTATCGTCCAATTCGCGTAGAATGTCACGAAGTACTTGTACCGTCAGGTAACCTTTACCCTCCTTATCGTAAACGCGGAACGCTTCCTTCAGCTCGCTAACCAAGGCGGGTGCATCATCCTCGACCTCAACGAAGCGCGCGGCTAATTTGCAGAATTGACCAAAATCCAGTTTACCAGAGTTCGCCTTGTCGACCTCTTTAAGTAGCGCCTTAATAGCTTTTTCATCCAGTTTTTGTCCAAGTATCTCGAGAATGGTCTGCACATCACTGTATTCAATATAGCCACGTTCATCATGATCGAATGCCTTGAAGGCATTGCGCATAACTGTCAATGTAAAAATGTGTGTATAAAATTAAAATTGGCGATCGTAATTTATTAAAAGAAATAAATTGATATTTAAGCATACTTCTCAGTTGTTCTTTATCGTATTCTGCTTCAGTCTGTAAGAATTAAACAGAGAAAAAAAAACGAGAAATTAAAAAAAAAGGAATGTTATAAAGAGAGAAGAAAGCTTGTGTATTTTCATATATAAGTAGTTGGCGTGTTTTTAACATTTTTTATGAAAAATGCCAAAATAAGCTTGCACATTGCTAACAACCCAAAAAACCCCTAAAATCCAAGATGTCCGCATACGAAATTTAGATGCAGGATTTTTTTTTTTTTTGTAACGGTCTAAATTTACTGGGCTATTTTCAAATTGATGCTGCTACACTGAGTTGGTTTACTATTTTTATTTTCCTTTTTGTTCATTCGTTAATAAGTGGACTACAAAATTTGTCAGCTCGTTAAATTACGCGTGTTTTATTTATTATTATTCAGCCATATGTAGAAATGTACGTACATATGTACATATTTAATTGTGAATGTGATCGTATATGTATATAGCAATGTACATGTGTGTTTATTTATTATTGAACAGCGTTCATTTGCAGTTCTTTTGCCATTGCTGGCGAGTAAAGTGACCCAATTGGCGTTGAAAATTTATGACAAAGTACCAACAAACATACGAATGTGGCATTTTGCGTTGCCTTGTTTTCCTAGTGCCTTTTCGTTTGCAACACATTCTCTATAATCCTCAAAGGCGAATTTTATAATTTTCTTTACAACGAAAGGAATAAAAAAAATAGAATTTTTTATACTTATGTAAAATTTTTTAATAAGGCCAATAATAACCTTAAACTACGCGGATCTCATCAGAATAGTTTTGCGTTTATTGTGTAAATATGTATGTATGTATCCCAAAAAAAGAAAAAAAAAAACAAAGCCAACATGCAGACCAGGTAATGTTGCGAATAACAGTAAATGCACGCCTTTCTATAAAAGTAGTTATTTTGCAAGGGCGCCAAAAATACTAAGCTACAGACATATTTTTTAAAAACTTTTGGTCTTAGCTGGGAGCCGAGAACTCTACTAATATTAAATAAATAAATACAAAGCCCGCCGCACTTGAATCGAGTTCGATTGACAAGGAAGGATAGAAAACAGCAAGAGTTTGTAGAAAACTGTTTTTTTTCTATACCCCGGAGTTCACAGGTTCAAAACACAGTGAGCTCGATGCAGAAAATTATTGTCGAGCTTGTACATCAACAAGGGGGCAGTTATGATGAAAGTTGTCCGATTTTAATGAAATTCGGTTTGTACCATATAGCCTTAGTCGGAAAACTTAAATCTGGAATCTGATCAAATACGGTCTACTGCCACGCTCAGCAGTTAAAAAAAAATACTAAATCGAATAAAATCTAATGATTTTCTTCTTCTAGTATAATAGGTTGGGTATTCTGTTCCATTCTTCATATTCACTTTATTCATTCCTGAACAAAGGGACTACGTAGCAATTTTCAGTAAAATCAAAGCGCAATTACTACTTCTCGCCGCATCTCATAAACTAATAATAATACTAATAATCTGCCACTGGGAAGATTTCAATCTGCTTATAGAATACAAGTTTGCTCTCACCCGCTTCGCCCAGTGTATGAAATTGCTGCATGTTATGTTAGGTGTAACTTATTTAAATTAAAAAATTTAACATATTTAAACTCAACTTCAAACTTCAAAATATTTTCAGACTAAAACATTCTTAAAGGTTTTTTGTCTGACACGCACATTGAGATACATATTTTAATTACCTACATAATTCCCTCAATCCAAGTTCACATAAATTTTACAAATCGGTTGCAACCCTACTTTGCGTAGTTAATAAATAAAACCTTTTCAAAACTATTGCGATTGATACGGATATGGTTGCAAGCCGCTTAACACTTTTTCGCCTAACACTTTCACTTGTATATAATTTAATTTAATTCGACTTTTCAAGTTTAAGTTAGGTTAGGTTGAGCGGCAGTCCAGAAGTAGGACTCACTTAGATACAGGTTCCTTTGTGATATCGCATGAGGTTTTTTAATTATCCCCATCCCCTGTAAACGATTTGGTGCCTAGCAAGAATGTGCAAAGACTTCTGACGTTCACCTCTTCCAGGTCATCGAGATCGTCGAAGAAAAAGCTCCCGCAAGCTTTTGCCTCCATTTTGACAGAGCGGGGCAATGACAGAGAAGATGTGGGATGGTTTCCTCTTCGTCTACATCCATGCAACTTCTGCAGTAGTCGTTCCAGGGCGCGCCCAGTCTAGTTGCGTGTAATCCGATCAGACAATGTCCAGTGAGAACTCCAGTCACTATGCGAATGTCCTGCCTCCTTAGATTAAGGAGAGTCTTGGTGCGCTGGGCGTCCATGGCGGGCCGGAGTGCTTTGGTAATATGACAGGTCGGTTAAATTCGCCATCTTTCATTGGCAACTTCTATGAATTTTTTATTTCAGTAGATGTTTTATGTGTTATGTTTTAAGAGGGATTCGCTTATGTCTGTATCAGGAAAAGTCGTTCCATGAAGCGCGAGTTCGTCAGCCTTGCAGTTTCCCTGAATGTTGCAATGGCCAGGTACCCAGACGACGTGTGTGCTGAATGTCTCAGTCATAACGTTGAGAGATCGGTGGCATTGAGTAACTACTTTTGACTTACTGTCAGTGAAGATATAGATGCCAAGACTAGGAATCAATCACACTGGACCACTGTTCCGTCTGAAAAACACTGCAGAAATGAGGTAGGCGGAACCCCCACCACCTACTCTTTTTTCGAGCTTCGATCCGTCCGTGTAGACGTGGATGGATCCGCTCTTCCTCACTGCATCCATTGACCATTCTTGAAATTGGGGGTGGGTGGTATGTAATCGGTTGCCGGAAACTGAGTAAGGTCGTTCAGAATTTTGCAGTGACCGATATGTTGGTGCGTCCATTTATTGGTCGCGTTAAGCCTAATGGCGATACTACATGCCATATTTTTTGCATATAGAAATACTACCCCGTAGTAAAGAATTGGTCTTACCACTGCGGTGTAGATCCATGCTACAATTTTGGGCTCCAGACCCTAGTTTTTGCCAATACCCCTGGTGCAGGAGTATACGGCAGTTGTGGCTTTGTGGACCCTTTCATCGATGTTCGGTCCCCAGTTTGATTTCCTATCCATAATTAGATCTAGATATTTACCCTAATGAGTTCTCTGTAGTGTGGCACCATTTAAAGTAATATTTCCGAGAGATGGACAGAGATGTGTTGCCTTGCGAACAGTATCTTTTTCGTCTGGCACCCATATTCATATTTAAATTTAAAAAATTTTCCTAAGTTCAAGCTGAATTTGACTTTTTAAATAGGAAGCCAACCCTCTACATGTAGTTTAGAAATGAAGAATTTTTAAACCCATTTCGATTTATACCAATGTTGTAATAATTCATATAATTATAAAATAATTTGAATCTAACTTTTTAAACAGGTGGCTGCACTCTTCAAAATAATATCAAACTACAACCTCTTTTCTTTATCTTTTTCCCAGAATCCGTTTGTATTGGAGGTGCCACGAAGTTAAATTAGGTATATTGTTTAAATAGAGTATAGTAAGAACTTTAGGGTAATCCAAAAAGAAAGGATTTGGGATTCTAGGATACTTCTGAATGGTAAAAAAGAATACCAGTATTTTAATGTGAAAAAAAGATATTTAGAACTGTCTCAAAGCCCATGAAGTTTTCCATGTGTTTTATTTCGGTAAAAACACTTTTAATTCTAACGATTTTTTATGTGTCCTTCCACTGCATTTTTTATGGGTTTGGGGGACCTATAAAAAATAGTTAATATTACAGAACTGTTTAAAGAAAATATAGGTAAGCTAAAGAAAGAGAACAAAAAATGACACTGAAGATAGCATAACGCCGAAACCGGTTTGTCTGCAAACCATACTTAAAATAAATCACCGAAAGAAAGAGGTTTAAGAAGTTTGTATTTTGAAGAGTGCTGCCTTTTTCCCATATCAACTACATGGGAAACTTCGTCGGCTTTGAAGCAGATCTAAATACCTTTTTTTCACGGTTTGCGCATTTAGTCAGAACATACAGAAAGTCGGTTCTATAGACAAAAAGCCTGTAACTGGGAACACTTCTGAGAGAGTAACTACTAACTGAGCAACTCTTCCTAGTCAGAAGTTACAGGATTTAGTCCGGAGTTTTTTTTCCTGCAAGTTCATGAAAAGTGTCACGCGTTAGGCAGGGTTGCATTTGTAAACAAAAACAGAATTCGGTGAAAACAAAGAACCTTGTATTTGTTAAAAAATGGAAGTAAACAACGCAGTATTTAAATATGTACGCAATTATTTTTCACTGAAGAGGTTTTAGTAATTATTTAGTGATCTTTCAGCCAAATCAAAGTTTCGACGAAGTGACGTTTTTGCGTTGCGTTTTTTATCTGTTTTACTTTAACTCTCATTTGACAGATTTTTGGCGTGTAATTGCATTACTTTCCATCTTTTTTTTTATTTAAAGAATCATTTAAAATACTTGGGCAAAATCGTTTTAACAAAAATCTACCAATATGAAACAAAAATTACCCTTTTCCAACCCAATTTTTTTCTACAAATTTTGGTAATAATTTACCAAAGTGGCAACCCTGCATGTATAACCTAAAAACGTTTTGAAGGATGTTAAGTTGACGTAATTTAACTTTTTCTCTGTGTAATCGATCCGAGCAACAAAATTAACTTTAACATTTGTGATCGACATTTTTACTTGTCGTTTACACATTAGGTATGAAACTGATTGATCTTAGAGTGGCGTTTTTGAATTTATTATTCTAAAGTTTTTTCATCGCTTTGCGTGTTGCTTTTCAGTTTAGCTTATTTCTAAATATTTTAAACTTAAATAAACATTTTTGAATAAAATCAGTCTAGCTGACGAAGTGTCTCACAATCTCGCCGACTTGCGTATGGCGCTAGAAAAAACTCTCTTGAGTTAACAACTTGAGCAACTTGAATTTTTTTTAGATCTTGAGAATTCAATTTTTTGTCACAAAAAAAAAAAGAAAAGGTTCTTTATATTTTGTTCCACCAACAAGACCCTTCTGAGAAACTTTTGACATTCATAATTCAAGACTGCTTCTTTCCCACCTAATCCTTTGTTATTATGTTAAAAAAAATTTAAAAATATGTTAAAAAATTCAAGTACTTTTTAGTACAAAGAATTTTTAAAACAACACTGTATAATTTACGACTTATGTATGTAGATAATCCCCAGAACTCAACGAATATTGAGTTGCATAAGATATAATATATATTTTCTATATATTTATGCATAAAAGTGCCGACTGATTAATTGTTTTCATAATTTTTTGCTTACCATTTTTATTTATTTTGTAGAGGTTGCAGTAGAAAATAATCCAAATATTTATGTGAGTTGATTACCCTAAAGGATTTGGCTGGAAAGAGTTAAATCGAAGAAAGCAACTACGTTCAATTTATTTGGTCTACACAAAAACGATTGTCCTCAAAGTTACACACACACACACACACAAACACGATATCTACGCTTAAAATAACGTAACGCACAAAGTGTTTGCACAAATATTTTTAATTTTAATTATGTATTGCTCCTTACAGCAAAAATAAAATATGTAGTATTCACAAGGAAAAATTCGAAAATCACAAAAAAAGAGTAATACCCGATTCGCTGCGGACGCAATCGATCTATGTACGTGTTCACGCTTCCGAATTTCGATAATCACTCAAGAGTTGTGATTTGTATCAATTAAAAAATTACCTTTCGATCAGATCGAATTAAGGCACTTTTAGTGGCGAATGCGCGCCGTCGCTGACTAAACAACTAAACGACGACAGCAATGGCAATACATAGCAACGACAACAAAGTCAACAACAAAGACAACAACGCGCCACAAATTCTATGCAGCCAAGTGAAGTGGCAATAAACAGGTATGTATGCATGTATGTATGTATGTAAATATTTAGATACAATGTTGGCGATGAGTAGCAAGCAACAACACTAGCATATATTTGTACATATATGTATACATATTTAAATATATGTATGTATGAAAGATGTGTTTGTTTGCATAAGTTGTGGCAACATTGAGTAGCAACAACAACAGCAGGGTATTTGTAGCTGAAATGGCTTTAACAAATAGAAAACAATAACAGCAACAGCATTAGGCCGATTGCTGCTTGCCAGCGCACATCACATCGAATGGTATCGGCTTGAATTGAATTGAATTGGATTGGGTTTGAATTAGATTCGATGCGACTGGGCGGCGGAACCGATCAGCGGCGCGACATGCCAACACACTTACACACATATATGTGTATGTGGATATGTAATATTTGCTTTTTTTGGTTCTGTCTGGCAGTTTGTATCATAGTTTTTTTGTTGAGTTTCAACTGCGGAAAAGCACCAATTTCTACAACACATAATTGCGCTGAGAATTTTCAGTTTCACGAATGCTTCTACATACACACATATGTATGTACGTAGTTATTTGTATGTAGTAAAGCAACAGCAGCGCCAACACCAACATTAACAACATTTACCTACAAGTCAGGTGGCATTTTCGACGTACACTGAAGCCAAAAGGGGTGGACGTGTGTGTTGCTGCCGCGCTGATGCTGCTTTGTTGTTGCCGCCTTTTTTGTGTCACTTTTTTTTGGTTTTTTGATTCTTACAACTTTTTGTTCTAAATTTTTTTGTAAATAATTCTGCGGTAGCCTATTTATTTGTCACTTGGATGCATATACAAAAACAGTAAAGCCGGAATTTTAATGCTCTCACCCCCTAGGATTATACTACATATATGGAATAAAAGTATAACCCTATTTTTTTATTTTGGAATTAAAAAAAATAGAGGTCGCTCAAAGCGCTCAAAGTTTTCCATGTACTATTATATGGGAAAAAACAACTTTTCTTAGAAATGATATAGAATTCTTGAAAACCAATATTTTTCAACCGGAAAGCTCTTCACGAGACTTTCAATAACAATACCCAATTGTTTATTTAACTATTTTTTAATACAAACGATTTTTCGTTGGTCCCCCATTGCATTTTTCGGGGTTTTTGTAGGTTTTTGGCGGACCTATAAATTATAGTTGCGATGAACAATTGTTAAATGGACAATTCGATATTTCTTTTTGGGAATCTCCTGCAGAGAAACAGAGCTTTTCGATCGAAAAATATTGATTTTTAAGAATTCTATACCATTTCTACGAAAAGTGATTTTTTCCCATATAATATTACATGGAAAATTTTGAGAGCTTTGAGCAACCTCTATATTTTTTTTTGGATTTCAAAATAAAAACAAGAGTTATGATTTTTTCTGTATAGACCAATTCTAGGGGGTGAGAGCATAAAGATTCCAACTAAACTTTTTTCATGCATTTTTGGACCACCCTAATGTGCATATGCCTCTGCGTTTAAATTCTTTATCCCTTGAGATCTTGTTGCTGCAGCATGTTGCTGACGATTTCATAGCCTCAGTAAATTTTAGGAGTGTGCGTGTGCTTTTTTTCACTTTGGCTTTTGTGATGCTTTTCTAAGTTTATTTTGGCTTTGATTTCGCATCAAGTATTCACTATTTCAAAGGTTTTGTCTCATTGTAATTGCTCTATATACATACATACATACAAATGTATGTAGAATGATTTTAGCGTTGTTGGTTTATTTCATATTTGTTGTATTGCAAAGAAGAGCATTTCTAGTTGATTTGATGAGATTAATTAGCGTATTTGATTTGCCAATTGGGCACTTGTCACAGCCCCCACAGACATTTGGCGCCTCTTGAATACTGTACTTTTTTTCAAAGTTAACTGGTTTTTGTTGATGCTTTTTATTATTTTTAAATTTTATTTAAAACAATGTTTGCTTAGTATGTATATACATACTATATATACATACTATATAAGTAATTATGTTTTTGCCACATATTTGTTTTTACCTTGAGTTTTATTAAATTCGATTTCATTCATTACTCACCATTCACATTGGCTAACAATATTGGCCCATTCTGTTTCAATTATTTCGATTGTTGCCTGTCAATCGGTGCGCCATTCCCTGCATCTTTTTTTAATTATTTTAAATCCTAAATTCGGTTTGTCACTTGTTAATTGTCAATTAGGTTTTTCCGAAATGGTTTTGTATTTTTTTGTTTCGTCTCACATTGAGTGGTTAACATATTCATGTAAGTTTCCCTTGTTTCGATTTTTGTTAGCATTTTTCCACGTTGTACTTACACAATTATGATTCAATGACGCGGAATGATCTTGTTGCTGCTGCAGGTGAGTCAGCATTTGACAATTTTTTTCTATGTCCGATTATTTTTGTAAAAATTTACATATTTGTATATTTAAATTTACACAAATTGCGTGATTTCTGATTATATTTCATAAGGCCACCACATATTTGACCAATGATCCATGCAAAGGTGTGCACTAAGTACCATTTGTGATCCACATGCCAAGCGAAAAGAATTTCCGTGCTATCAACTGAAAATAATGCAACGCGGTTTTCTATAGAGACTACATAAATATTTAGCAATAAATATTATTATATAAACCATAAAACCCAGCGCTAGCAGCAGAGGCTTTCGGCTGACATGCAGATATTAAACCAATTGAGTGAATTTTCTTTTAATATTTTTTTACACAACTATAGGATGTGTTTCCAGTTATTTCAATATCGAGCCCTAACGGCCAAAATAACGTAAGCGACTTTTTTTCAAAATTTTCTTTTTGATACAGAAATATTCTTAGTGCATCTAGGGCACCTAGTGGTTAGGGCACTATATGTTCTAACTGACCCCATTAAAAAATACATACATATCTTTCCTTCAAGAATCCCACTTGTTTGAGTTATTTATATCGTCTAATTGAAAAGTACCTTATAGGTTGCTCACACTGATACGAATGTTTTGATTGCCAGGGCGTATGATGTACGCGAAAATGAGCAACCTTCGCCTTGAACCGTAAAACAACTGGAAACTGTTAAGATTATTCTGACATATGTATTTAGAGACTGCGTTATCGGGTTTGGACAAACTAACTTTCGATTTTGGACTTTTGGTAAGCTTTTTTGGATTTCCGACCATTGCACTATGGTCTGGTGACTACTATTTGCTGCCAAAAGTCAAGAGGTAACCAAATTGATTTGAAACAGGTTTTTGAAATTCAAAATGGGGGATCCAATATGGTGACTTAATTTTATAATCTTTTCCTTTTCAACACAAACTCATATAAATGGGGGTTTTTCGAGGTCGCTGATTTCGAATCTGTTGTCAGATTTTTGACATTCGAACCTGCAAATTTTTACTGGAAAAGTATATAATGACCCAAAAAATTTGCAAGAGAGCATTAAATCGAGAGCGTAATAACACGGAGAACTGCAAATTCTTGCTAGTGAAATTTTTACTAGCAGAAATTAGTTAGCAGAAGAAGAGCTGGAGAAGAACAAGAATAAATGTCAAAAGCTGCCATTTTTTTTTAAATGGATAAGCATAAATAAAAGCAAAATTAGTGAAAGTCAAAATATTAAAGATGTACTGGACTGTGCAAGTGCTTGTGTGTAAAGTAGTTCATTCAATCTCGAAGCATTTTAACAATCCTGAGATGCCGAGATTTTTCGCGATTTCGACTTCATGACAACTTTTTGCATTTTACAGTGGGTTCGTCTTTTTCAAACCACACAGATTCATTTGGTCTTAGGGGAGCAATTTGATGTTTAAATATTTTGATTCTAAAATATCTATATAACTTGTCAAAAACAGCAGAAATTATTTTCCAAAAAAAGTCCAACAAAGTAAAACGAAGAAAAATTCTGCCACAATGTAAAAGGTTGTTGTGTTTTCAATTGCTACCAGATTTTTCGTTATTATACAGTTCTTGCACAAAATATTTGAACAAGTACAGTTATTCCGGCAGGTCTTGAAATTCACTTCCAAGCAGAGTGTCCAGATTGGGCGATTTAGCGCCATTTTAGCGATTTTTTTGGTTATTTGCGCGTATAAATTTAGGAAATCGCCTTTGGCGATTTTTTCCTCTTCAAGTCAATGCGTCGAAACACATGCTAATTAGGTTATGTAATTAGAGCTTTAATTTTTATGTTGCAACCTTTTTTATTGTTATCGATTTTGTTGTAGCATATCAAACATTTGCCAATAATAAACCAAAACAATTTGTGACAACTCTCGCTGAATGTGAAATTTGCATTTTTGTTTTGTGGAAATAACTGATCTCGCTTTATAGCATTTATTTTATTTTTAGGACCGAGCGCTTAAAGCGTATTGTGCGATTAATCAATTAATATGAGTTATAATAAATTTATTACAAATATTTTTGAAAAGCATTAATATGTACGATTTTTATTATTTATTATTACCCTGAAGGCATTGCGTTTTTGGTTTTAAAAACTATTTTATAACAAGATCTCATTTTTAAAATAAAAGATTTTTTAAGCCGATTTGGCGAAATTAGCGATATTTATTTTTTTAAATGGCTCTTTTCTTTTTAAACAATCTGGATACCCTGCTTCCAAGTGCCTCTGGCTCAAGTTCACTTTGAATCCAAATTTTCGTGTTCTGCATTTCTCGTGTTTCACGAGTTTGTTTTTACTAGTTTTGTGTTCAATAACTTTTTCTGCTAGTTTTCTCATCTCGATTTATCGATACTTTTCATGAGCAAATAGTAGGTGCCAGACCGTAATGCATTGTACGCTGCGACGCAAGAATAGGCGCTGGTCAGAGGCATCATTGTGGCTTAATTCGCGTTGATGTGAGAGATATGCCGTTTCAGCAGGACTGCGCCACGTGCTATAAAGCGACCGAAACCATCGATTTATTGAAGACGAAATTAGGATATTTTTTCTGGTTTTCTTACTCCGGAATTACGTGCCAAAGATGTAAGAAAC